CCCGCCCCCCTCCCTCACCCCAGCCTGGCCCCAGCAGCCAGGGAAGGCTCTGCTCCCTCCTGGAGTAGCTACGCTGTGCTTCTTTTCTGTTCTTTTTTCTTTTTTTTCCTTTTTTTTAATTAAGGAAAAAGAAACTGATATTTCAAGACTTATTCCATGAGGGACACTAACCAGAAAGTCCAAGATAATAATAGATTTTGAATTAATGAAAATTTCAGGCACAGAAGAGCTAATTTTAGGTGTCTTTATGGAGCCTTTGATGGGTCCCTCATAAGCACTGCACAGCTGAAGTCATGACTTGGAGGTGAGGTGAGGCTAAAGCCCTTTTCACTGATTTGTAAGAACCGCCTGGCTGCTTTATAAGAGACTTTGCAGTCTCACAGGCAGAAGTGCTGGGTGTTCGCTACAGTGGGGACGCTGGGGCTGGGCTCCCCACATCACTGCAGCTCGTGCTGGCAGCGCAGTTATCCCGGGTAGAAACGAAGCCGCGTGACTGCTGAGCCAATACAAAGCTTTCTGCCATTTATGCTATAACTTGTCTGCCTCCCCAGCACCCCTAGGCCCTGCTGAGGGGGGATACGAACTTGTCCAGTTTCATGCTTCAGGTTGCTTCTTCCTTCTGCTGTGAAGGCACTTTGGGCAGCCACATAAAATCGAGCCATTTCTCTACAGCATATTTTTCTCACCTCTTTAAGCTGCATTCCCCTATTTTTTCAGTGCTGAGAGCTGCAGCCTCGTGCCCCAGTGAGTCATGGCCAGGGTGGCTGAGTGACCCCTGTCAGAATCCCAGAGCACGAGCACCATTCCCCCTCCCTGGGATCGGCCAGAGGCCTGCGCGATGCTGAAGGCAGCAGTGGGCTGGGGGAGGAGACAGAGAGATGCTGCCGCTGCCTCTCTTCTTCGTGGTAGCTCAAAGGGCTGCAGGAAACAACAGCGAGGACCAAAGGTGGGGAGGGTGGTGGGGAAAGGTGAGGATGCTCCCTTGGAGACACGCATAAGGAAGGAGAGGAGCCACACGCCTGGAGTGTCTGCAGGGGACCAGGGGAGGGGCGTGAGGCCTCCCAGCTCTCTGCCTGCAAACTCAGCACTCAGGTGTATTCAGGATTCCACCAAACACCTCTTCAAAGCTGCACTTTGCCATGGAGCTAGATACTGGTGGTATGCAAATGGAAAAAAAAGCACTGGCACATGGAGCCTGGGAAATCAGCGCTCCCCGAGTCCATGTTCAACCTCAACACTGCGTCTTAGTCCTCCCATGCTAAAGCATGCTCTTCGTCTTTTTTGAACAGGTTGTGATTTTAAGCAATGTATTAGCAATGCAAACATCATGCTGTGAAGTTCAAGGGGTGTGTAAAACCCTGGCTTTCGCAGTGTGCTAGCGCAACAACCTGTCTGGATTCTGATTTATTGAAGGGTCTGGGCATCTGTATCTCTCCACCACCTCACAGGCTGATGCAGGCAGCACCGCAGGAGTCTGCCTGGCTTCAGCCACCCAACTCCGTAGACGAAACTGGCTTTATGAGGGCTGGGGACCTTGCCAGAGGCTAGGGCTGGGACTCCTCTGCAGCTAGGGGCCAGTGCACGTCTTATGCACAGGTTCACTGGCAAGGGGTTGCGGGGTGGCGTTCCAAGCCCGGGCGAGGCGGTACGTACCTGTAACAAGATGGGGTGTGAATTCACTGACAAGGTGTACAACAGGCGCAGCTTGTCCCGCTCGGTGAGGTGGTCCATGTAGATGCTGCCAGCGTCTGGCACCTCAGCATAGCGCCGCACTATCCTGTCCAGGAGACGCTGGGACGGGCAGCGCAGCATTGGGCTAGACAGGCCCTGGCGAGAGGGGAACACGCGACAAAGAGGTTTATTTTCCAGCCTGCGAGATCGCAATGTGCTTGGCCCATGGCGGGGGCATGGGCACCTCTGTGCTCCTCTGCCCCTGCGGCACAGCTGTTGATGTGTACGGACAAGCGGGGGGATCTCTACAGCAAATGCTTCCCAGGACAAAAACCCTGCACCATCCAAAAATGCCTGGTCACAGCTCAGGTTTCCAAAATGGCACCCAGTATTGTGCGGCACAGCCGCAGAGGCTGCAAACTTCATCTCCCCGCAGCTGCGCAGCACAGCATTGCTCCGCTCCGTGCCGGCGGGCCTCCTCCCTCTGCCCGGGTTTCCAGCCCTGGCACCCCAGCTCGCCGGTGGAGGCCTCCCTGTCATTAAGCCGGTGAGTCACTTCCCTCGTTAATAACGTCTTCGGATCGCTTCACTATTTGCTTAGCCTGTGAGCAGCTTTCTTGGAAATGCTATTTGCTAAGGTCAGTAAACATGCTTTAAAAAGCGTAAATAAACACTGTATGTGGGTACAAGCACAGGATGTATTCTCTCTCTGATAAACTTAAGCATCAACTATCAAAACTTAATTTGAATAGCCTGTGCATATTTTCTGTAAATACAAGCAACAAATAAAGAACCGTTGGGCTAATGGAGTCAACCATCACTATTATTTCGCCTTTTGGAGTTGGAGGTTTGTCTTGTAAAATTGCAACAAGCAATCTGTGGCTTGGATAAACAGCACAGAAATTTGTACCTTCGTCGTCAAAAAAAGATCTTTGTTTCAAAGTCAGTCTTCCTTAACAGCCCGGGAGAGCAGACGTAAGGGGAGCTGCCTGTAGTGTCACAGAAATGCTGCCCTGCCATGTCTCTGATGGGGGGGAATCAGGTTTTTGCTAAGCCTTTTTCTTCCAAACGATCCCAGTAGCCAAATTTACTCTTTTGCATTTTCTTTATAATCTGATGGCTGGGAGACTTGCTGCGGAGGAAAGGGCACTGGAGCTCACGGTGCTCCCTGCCGTTCTTCATGCTGAGAACAAAGATTTGACTCAGGATCTCCCCAAGTCATGTGGTAACTCTGAGGTAGGTCTCTCTCAGCCCTTCCTGCGCGAGCTGTTCATTTGGCATAAACCACTTCATTACCCAGCCACCACAAAGCAATGAAGAAACGAGGAAAGGCGGAGTGTGTCGCTCTCCCGGTCGGAGGTGGAAAGGCGGGACTGGACCTCCCACGTCCCCTCCTCTGCCTCCCAGCCGGCCTCAGTGAGGTCCCAGTCTCTCCCTCCCTGCCCATCGGTTGCGCGAAACAAGCCCTGAATGCTGATAGATGGTCAAAACTACCTGAGAAACTCAACCCCATCTGGAGCATTGTTTCCATTTTTTTTCCCCAGGAGAATTTTTCCGTTTTTCAAAAATTTTTTCATTTGTCAAAAATTCCACACAATTCTCCACAGTTCTAGTTACAAGTCTTCATACACTCCTCTCCTCCGGTGTAGCCTTATCAAGGAAATATTTTTTCAACTAATTATCTAAAACCATAGAAGGAGGGTTGGGGGAAGGGCTGGTTATGGATTTCTGTCTCACAGCACTTGCAGGCACATTGTGGCTGACTCTGTCACTTTCCCTTTGGAGGAGAAGTGAGAAAAACTGAGCAGAACAGAGCTGTGTTAAAGAAGAGATAAACGGTGGGGAACGTCTCTTACAGCTCGGTGTGTATGCAAATATTTGCAGCCAAAGTTAGAAAGCCTTGCTGCCTCCAGCGGTTTGCAATGCAAAAGCTGAGACCCTTCAGAGTACACTGTGGGCACAGAAAGCACAGCGGCAGAGAATGCATGAAAGTTGTGGTCGGGATTTTTTCCAAGGTCAGAGCTCATCCGTGTAACACAGACGTGGACATCCACTGCACGTGGTGATCACGGCTGCTCATTTCCTGCAGAACCGCTTCAGGCATACCAACGGCGGTGCAGGAGCAGAGGAGCAGGGCTGGGTGCTGCCACGTTTACATCAAGCACCGGCGCAGCTTCCTACAACTTAATGAAGCCCCGATCCACGAAAAATGGGCAGTGAGGCCTTGGGATTTTGGCAGAGATGGCCAACAGCATGAAGTTTAACACATGCTCAAGTGCTTCAGCGGAGTGGGGCCTCCCGTTCCAGAAGACTGGTGGAAACATCCCTACAGCAGAAAAGGAGCTGGAGCTGTACTACTGTCAGACAAAAACTGTCGATGGAAGAAAAACTTGAAGAACACATACTCAAAACACTGGAGATACTGATTTATCTGCGAATATCTTAAGTCCTTTGCAGCATCTCATCACCCCAGAAGAGTAAGACCTGACAGCCTGCCTGACGTATTGTTTGTGACTGATATGGAAATCTTCTTTACTTTGATTAAATACCCACATTTTTATATCTGATAATGAGTAGTTCCTGCAAAGCCTGCCTGCACTCAGCTGTGATTTTTTTCCCCCTACTGCACAGTATGCGATGTGTTTTAAATCCTAGGTATGCATATGTATGCGTATCTAGTGTGGACGCACACAGAATTCACTCCGACATAAGGATGACCTCTGGAAGACAACTTCTCCTCACTCCACGTTCTCTCCAGCCATCCCGAGGAGAGATGGCACAGATCAGGAGCTCAGCCGCCTCCTGCTCCACGCGCTGCTACCCGGGTGCAGCTTCACCAAATGACCAGGTTTAGGTTGTCCTCCGGGATGAAACGCCTGGGTGTAGGTGTCGAAGCACAGGCAGCTCCTGGCCTTTTGAATCCTAGGGCTTCGTTCACCCCCAACAGAAAGAACCTAAGGATGCCCTGTGAAGCTACGGGGCTCATCCCCACTGCCATCAAGTTTACCAAGGCACGTGTCTGCCGACGAGGTAGCAGGGCAAGGAGGCGACAGGTCTGGGAGGTGGCTCTGGGGGCCCCGTAATGGCCATCCTTCCCATGGAACGGACCAGCTGCCAGATCTATGAGCTGCTGCCGATGTGCTGCGGGCAAAGCAATGTGTACTGGGCTGGGAGGCTAAATAACCACGGTGCTGGCACATCTGCTGAGGGCAGGCAGAGGTGCTGGTCAGTAGTTTCAAACAGTACGTCCCAGAGAAAGGGGCTGAAAGTGGCTGGATAGTCACCTTGGTACTGCTTTTATCTGTCTGCCTTCAGCATTTTCCAGGCTATGCTTTGCAGGCAGGGCTGTAAATTTGCCCTGTGGGTGGTCTGTGCTGAAATTAACCTGCTTTTTTTGTTGTTCTTCCCCTCTAACAGGAAAAGCATGCGGTGTGGTTTGAGGTGATGAGCTCCCGGGCGAAGCAGCGGGTGGCTGGGGCTTCTGCGTGGGCTTCAGCCCCAGCTAAATCCTGCTCGTCTCCAAGGAGGGCTGGGTTTCAACACTGAAGACTTTGCGGCGTCCAGTAATGATTTTTGTTGTGGTGGGGGGAATAATCACTC